ACATTTTGTTGCTTGCCAGATGGGCGGGGGCTGGAGGGATGGGTGTAAAAGATGAAGGAATTAAGAAGTACAAATTGGTTGTTAGACTTATGAACCTCAAAGGGAAGGGGGAGGGTGGGCAGGATGAGATAAACCAAAGAACTTCTATGCATATATGCATAACCAAAGGACACCAATAATAGTGTGGGGAAGGCTGGAGGGGGGGCAGGATTGGGGAGGAGGGGATCAATGGGGGAAAAAAAGGGGGGGTATCTATAATACATTCAACAATAAAGATGAGTTAAAACAAAAACAAAAAATAATAAATAAATAAAAACTGAGGATAGGAGTTGAGAGTGTTGGAATTAGAAGCTTCCTAGCTCTGCAAATCTCAGATTTGTTAGTGCAACTTAGCCTTGATTTTCTCATGTATACATTGTAATCTCTTCTACAAAACAGGGCTGTTGTGAGAGTTAAATAAGGTCATGTATGTAATAGCAGTTAGCACTGAAGAAAGTGCTGCATAAATGTCAGCTTGTTGAAATCATCCTTCATATAGCACTCTCTCTTTATCCATGGCAGATAGGTTCTAAGACCCCCCAGGGGATGCCTGAAATCACAGATAGCACCAAACCCTATGTATTCTCTGGTTTTTCCTGTACATACATACCTATGATAAAGTTTAACTTATAATTAGGCACAATACGAGAATAACAATAACTAATAATAAAATAGAACAATTACAATAGTATACTGTAATAAAAGTTATATGAATGTGTACTCTCCCTCTCTCATAATATATTTTTGTACTATACTTACCTTTTCACTTAAAGGAAGCACTTTACGACTTCTATCTGGAATATTTGAATTGCCAGCATCACTACTCTTGCTCTCTGTGGCATTATTAAGTAAAATAAGTGTTACTTGAACACAAATACTGTGGCACCGTGACAGTCAATCTGATAAGCAAGACGGCTACTAAGTGACTAACAGGCAGGTAGCTGTACATAGTGAGTGGATGATTTACAACCTGGGCAGAATGTAACAAGATGGCTTGAGATTTCATCACACTACTCAGAGTGGCACACTGTTTAAAATTTATGAATTGTTTATTTCCGGAATTTTTCATTCAATATTTTTGGGCTGCAGTTGACCAAGCACAACTGAAATCACATATAGTAAATCCACAGATAAGGGTGGATGGAGTACTGTGATAAAAACAGGAACACTTGGCATGAGGATCTTCAAAGAGAGGGTGATTCACATTGGTGCTCTTTGGCTGAACTCTGGGATGTAGTTGTAAAAGACTCAAGTTGTAAAAGTCCCAATTGCTTTTTGGAATTTATCTTAAGGAGAAAACCAACTACAAGCAAAACTTTAGCCAAAGGGTTGTTCATGGCAATAGTTTATAGTGGTGGAAATGTGAAAACAGTAAAAATCTCCAACAATATAAAGACATTTATTAAAATACTATTATAGATTAAATGCATAGAAATATTTATTCTATATTGTAAGTTTAAAAAGGCAAGGGTCTAAAAATATCTGAAGAAAAAAATATTAACATTTGTTAAATTTGGCTGATACACATAGAGATGTCTTCATAATTCTCCACAATTTTCTATGTATTTTGTAAAACTTTTCAAAATAAAAACAGAAACATAACTTCCACAATAATGCATACAAAAGAATTCTTTATTATACTGTCCTCACAACATAAGACTCATAACACTTTTATTCTAATTCTTATTTCTTTCTATATTCTCTGGTAGATGGTAAGATACTGTCTATTTTATCCCCCCTTGCCCTTAGAACAATGCTTGAACATAAAAAGTTTTTAAAAAATATTTTTAAAAACACATTCTTGTTTCCTTTACCATGATCTACAGGAACTTTCGGGGAACTCCTTTCAGATCTAGACTTCACTTAACTAGGTCAGCACAGATTAGTTGTTTACTTGTAAAGGCAGTATAGAATTTCTTATTCTTTACCTATATCATCCAGGTGAATCTGCAGTTGTTTTGACTTCTCCACGCCTAGTACATTTGCAGCTTGGACCCAGACCAAATACTCCTTGCCTCTTTGTAATGAATCAGTGGAGATGTTAATATAATTTGAGGTGAGATATTGTTGTTCTTCTTCTGTTTCTAAACTTTAAAAAAAAGATGATAATTACCGGTTATGTTTGGCTTGAGTTAATTATTCCTCAATTTTTTGATGCTATCATTTTAACCTGCTTTCAGAATGCAACAGTTACTAAAAATAGAACAAGTTCATTTTATTTTGAAAATTAAAAAAAAAAAAAAAAGATTCAAGACTATCTACGGCCACAGTGTGACTTTCATGGGCCCCTAAGCAATTTCACTTTCATGGACTCCTTCCATTAAGAAAAAAATAGTATATGTGTGCGTAACTATGTTTATATTTCTATATATGTGTACATACTGATGTTTTTATAATATTTTGCAACTATTGCTATAAAAGCAAATATATTAACATCACATATTAAAACATTTTCTCTGACTTAACAGTTCATTTTTTCCTTCTGATTTTAAGTTAAACATTTTCATGGACTCCTGAAAGTACTGTGGGCCATAGACACTGTGTCTACTGTGCCTATTAAATAAGTTGGCTCTGGACAAAGCTTGAAATAAATGAGTTCCCTCTGGGAAGGAGCATTGCATAGGGGTTCAGTGCAAGGGCTTTGAGTCAGACATTTTTACCAGATGTAGGATGAGGGTAAGAATGGGCTGAGAGGTGATGAGGAGGCGGAGATTATCACTTCAAATTGTATTTCTCTAAGTTTTTGAAATTGAATAACTGAAAATCTCTAACCCACCAATTAAAATTCCCAAAGGTATTTATTAATACTAAATCTTAAAATTTTAGTATTAACTGATGTTAGCCTTGAACAAAAGGTTTGGGCCTCTCTTTTAAGTCCTTTAAAAACGTCTACTCTATAATATTTTAAGGGGGTAGAGGTGGGGAGTAGTGGAGAGCAGAGTACCAGGGAATGCTTCTTCCCTCATCTTCTGGTTTCTGTAAGGAGAGAGTGTCTTTAAACCTCCCCATTTCTTATTCCGCCCCTCGATCTCTCTTCCCTCTGGAAAGTGGGGGTGATTCTACTCAAGAAAAACTGGACGTGGACACCTCAGTCCCTTCCTCTTTCTTTTTCCCTCAGGAGTCAGAAGACCAGAGAGATGTGCTCGTCTAGTCTGCCCCATATGCTCAAAGACGTAGAAGAGTGAGTCTTCCATGTAGGACCTGCCGCTGTCTAGCACTGGCTATGACCGGGATCAAGCGCAGTACATCTGTTTCTTCCAGGAGGATCAGTGTTAGAAAGCTTCCTGTTGCAACATACCAAAGCCACGCTCCCCATTATCAAGCTTCATCAGCAGTACATATTATAAAATATTTAAGATTATTCAAATATTTGAATACATATTTAAAATCAATTAAAACACAGATATTTTTATATGTTGATTTTCGCCGGCTGACTCTGTGGTTTCTCAGTTGGTTCAGAGCCCACGAGGGAAATCTGCAGAGGTAAATACAGGGCCTCCTCAGACTCTTAGACACCATTATCTGTAGTCAGATTCATTGATAACATGAAAGCGTTTTCACTAGACTTCAGTAAGTTTACATTTCTTGAACCCTTTGAACTACCAACTCTTTTTATTTCCTTTTTTAAGTTTCTCAGCCAGATTTTCTACATCTGTGGTTACTACATCTAAGTTATCATTTCTACTTGTTTTGTAAGCCCTTTGTTGTGATTTCTGCCTTCACTTTTCCTATGAAACTACTCTTCTGAAATGGCATCCTTTCCTAGGTGATGTCTTCTGAATCCTTTCTACCATCTGTCCCTCTTACTTAAAATTCTTACTTCCTTCTGTCTTCTGGGTGAGACCTCCTATGTCTCTTTTTCACCCCCGTTTAGCGACATCTTCCCTCCCTCGTACTTGCACCTGGGTTCCCCTCCCTCCTCCTCTTACCCCACCACAGAGGGCCAGCCCCTGGCACTTGTCTTTCTTTTAGCTCTTTCTCTCAGCTCACTCACCGGGTGGGCTACTCCACAGGTATGGCTACCACATACCTGCCCTCTCACTGGGAGGTACATCTGAATGTCTGCCTAACATCAGAGCCATAGCTCATTTCCAACTAAATTATCTTCCTGTGAAAATCATGTTTCTTGCCAGTTACTCCATTATTGCCAACAGCATGCTCCCTTTCTGATATCCTTAGTTTGCCTTTTTTTTTTTTTTTTTTGATACTTAAAAAAAATTTATTGCCCTGGACGGTTTGGCTCAGCGGTTAGAGCCTGTGGCCTGTGGTCCAGAGAGACCTGGGTTCAGTTCCCGCTAGGGGCGCATACCTCGGTTGCAGTTTGTCCCTGGCCCTGGTTTGTCGTGCAGGTGGCAGCCACTCGATGTGTCCCTTTTACACCAATGTCTCTCTCTCTGTCTCTCTCCCTCTCTCTCTCTCCCCCTCCCACTCTATCTGAACAAAAAATGGAAAAAAAATGTCCTCAGGTGAGGCTAAACGAAATAAATAAATTGATTGATTTTAGAGAGATAGGAAGGGGAGAGAGAGAAAAAAACATCGATTTGTTGTTCCACTTATTTATGCATTCACTAGTTGCTTCTTGTGTGTACCCTGACTGGAGATTGAACCCATAACCTGGGAGTATCGGGACAACACTTTAACCAACTGAGCTACCTGGTCAGAGCTCTGTTCATCATTTTTAATAATTTTCTCTCCATCACCTTTAAGAGACAACCAAAGAAAGTGAAGTATTTTTTAAAAATATTATTTTCTTATTTTATCTTTTCTCCCTGTTTTTGGTAGCTGTGGTCATGGTCTAGGTTCTCTCTCTATATTAACTATCTGTTTGGTATATTACTTGTAGATTCCTAAGTTAATTGTACGGCATTGTGAAACCTAGCTTGATATAGTCTAATTTAGACAGGAGATAACCTTGGAATTTGAACAATGGTGAAAAGACAAGTACCCTACATTCTTATATTTAACAAATAGAATGCTTCACAAATGTGTATGTCATCCTCGTTCAGGGGTCTCATCTTCTCTGCGCTGTTCTTATTATAGTATTTGTGCTGCCGAGGCAAGCGCCGCCTGATTTCTTTATCTAATACCATCAACTGCTCCTTTTCTTGGGGGACTGACTTAATAGGTTTTGTGGAGAAACAGTTTAAAAATCACTGGCGCTTCATCCCTAGGGCTCCACTTCAAGTCCTGCTACTATTGTGTCTCTATAGAGCAACTCCCTAATTTCTCCAGCTCCACAATCTCCCAGCCAGGATTATAACTTGCCACCCGCTTAGATGTGTTGGAACGCAGAGTAGCATGCTTGCTAAGACACAAAACTCCAAGGAGGAAAAGAGGAACCAACCTTACGCTACCAAGTAATAAATGCATTTATAAATCAAAATACTACATAAATTGTATTTCTATATTTTAAACTCATTGCCACTACCAGAGCAGGATAACTTCAGCAGGCAATCAAGAACTCTCCCTAAGGCTGGCAGAGGTGGGTGCTGGAGGGTGAGGGGGTACAGAGCACGCAGGGCCAGCAGCTACTCTGTCTAGTTCAGCTCAGATTTTTGACTTTCAATGCACATTTTCTGGTGCTGCCTCTTCCTCTCACCAGCAGAGAGATCACTATGAGCACCATGACAGGCCAAGAAGAACGTATCATAGTGATGAAAAGCACAGGGCTTGGGTTTTAGAGACAGACTTAGGTTCAAATTTCAGTCCTGCCCCTTGATAAATTGTGAGATTTGAAGCCAGTTAGCTAATCTCTATGTACTTCAGTTTACTCATCTGTAAAACAGAAATAATAACACTGTTGTTATCATGAGTAGATGAGATAAGTGAGTAAATGAAAAAAGAAAACATAGAACAGGTGGCTTCACACATAATAAGGGGCTTATTAAAAAAACAGCAACAACAAAAAACCAATGGTGCCTAGCTGGTGTGGCTCAGTGGTTGAGTGTCATGGGTTTGATTCCCAATCAGAGCACATGCCTGGGTTGTGGGCTCGATCCTTAGTATCCTTAGTAGGAGGTGTGCAGGAGGCAGCTGATGAGTAATTCTCTCTCACCTCAATGTTTCTATCTCTTCCTCCCTTTCCCTTCCTCTCTCTCTAAAAGTCAATACAAATATATTTTCAAAAGACAATTATTATGACTTAAAAGGTACTTATGACATACGACTTTTGCACATTTAAAAGAATAAAAATGAAAATTTTAAAAGTGCTATATTTTAACAAGTGAAATTTTATATTGCTTGTATCTGAGGTCAAATCATGCCATTAATTCAAGTGTTTACATAGTTGCCTTACACTCTTTTTGCAAAAAGATGCAACATAAATAAATAAGCAGAGAATTTGTTATAAGATAGGCTAATCACATGCTAAGAAAGAATTAAAATGTGAAAATAGGAAAATGGCAACTATGTGTAAGTACTAAGTAGGGCATCTTTGAATATTTTCCAGTTAGAGAAAACCGCATGCATATTCTTAATTGGTTTGTGGCTAATTCTTTTATCGCACATATTGAGATCACAAGTCAAAATGAAAATGTATTTTTAAAACAACATTAACCATATACTAGGTAATTTAATTTTGCTTTTAAAGCATACTCTCATGTTAACATCCAGACCACAAAGCACTGTTTTAGATGAAGATTCCGATAATAATGACTGACTATACTTTGGGACTATTTTTTTAAGAAATGTCTTTTAATAAGCACTCTTTTAAAAAAAAGTTTTTATTCATTTTTAGAGAAAGAGGAAGGGAGAGGGAGAGAGGTGGCTGCCTCCTGCACAACCCCCTTGCTGAGGATCGAGCCTGCAACCCGGGCATGTGCCCGGAATGGGAATTAAACTGGCAACCTCTTCATGAATAGGTCGACACTCAACCACTGAGCCACACCAGCTAGGAGGGACTATTTTTATATAAAACTATATATTAAAAAGTTTTTGAATTTCTTATTTCTATTTTGTTTTTTCGTGTGCTAATTAATACATGACAGATTATTTATTGAAGGGAGTCAGTATGATTTATATTTTTCTAAAGTTTTCTGTGTACCTAGCTTTACTTGTAGTTAACAGATTTTTAATAAACACTGTTAATTTATGGTGATATAGTGAATAGTGTCTTTTGTTTATTTAACCCCTCATTAACAATAATTATTTAATACCCAGTATGTCCCAAGTACTACTTTAGTGAAAACTTCAGGGAGGAAAAGAGGAACCAGCCTTATGCTACCAATTAATAAATTCATTTAAACATCAAAATACTGCATAAATGAACAACAATGAACAAAACAGATAAAATCCCAAACTTTGTAGAACATACATTCTGGTAGAAACAAATAAATACATAGTATGTCCTTTAATGATGCATGTTCAGAAGAAAAATAAAGCAAAAAGGGTTAGGAAGTGCTAGAAGAAAAAGTAGGGTTTTTTTTTGTTTGTTTTGTTTTTTGCTTTAGGGAGATGAGGAAGGTGTATCTGAGAAGGTAACATTAGAGCAAAGATCAAGACGTGTGGCTCTCTGAAGGGAGAGTATTCTGGGTAATCTGCAAAGGTCCGAGTCAGGATCTTGCTTGTCCCATTCAAAGAACAGTAAACAGTAAGGGGGTCAAGGTTGCTTGATACAGTGAGGGAGATGGAGGGGGCTTAGAGAAAAGATCAGAGAATTATGGAGGAGGGAGAGATTTAGAAGGCACTGTAAGGTCACATAGGGCATTGAAGGACCCTGGTTTTGATTTGACTGAAATGAGAGAGTTTGAGCAGAAGACTGACATGATGTGACATGCATGTGAAAAGGATTATGCTGGCAACTTGTGAATAACTAATGAAATATAGAAGGGCAAAGCTGGAGGCTAGGGAATCAGGAAGTTCTTGAACTAAATCAGATCAGAGACGATGTGGCTTAGACCAGGATTGCTATCTACATAGTGAAAAGAGGTCAGATTTTAAAGATAAACCCAATACGTTTTGCTGATCATTTGTACAGAAGAATCCAGGAGGAGGCCAATGATTTTGACCTGAATAATGTGAAGGATGGAGTTGCCATTTACTGAAAATGAGTATGCAAGTCTGGATAGAGGAAACTGGGTGTTTGATTTTGAAAATGTTAGCTTTGAGTTACCTTTTGGATTTCTAAGAGGAAGTGTTGAGAAAGAGGCTAGATATATGTTCAGAAGAGATCTATGGATTGGAGATATATAAGTTAGAGAGTTTTACACCATAAATTTGGATGAGATCTTTCAGGTAAAGAGTTTTAGATAGAGATAATAAGAAATCCTAGGATCGTGCTGTGAGGGCCTATTACTTTACTTAACATGAAAAGGAACCAGCCAGAGAGACTGAGAAAAAACAGCCGTGAAGGTAGGAGAACCAAAGGGGAGTGGTGTCCCAGCAGCCAGAAGAAGGAAGTGAAAAGCTAAATGAAATGCTCCTTCTAGTAAATGCTCTTGATAGTAAGATAAGGACTCAGAATAAGCTATTGGGTTTGGCAATGGGGAAGTCACTGGTGGCACTGTTTCAGCGGAGGGCAAAAACTTGACTAAACTAGATTAAGGAGAGGATGAGAAGAGAGGAAGCAGAGATAAAATACAACTTTTTGGAGGAGTTTGCCATGCAGAGGAGCAAAGAGATAGGGCAGTAGAGGAGAGGGACCAAGGGAGGGTTGTATGTTTTCTAGAAGCCAGATGCTATAGCATGTTTTAAAGCTGAAGGGAAAAATCCAGTAAAGACAGAAAAGGTGATCATGCAGAAGAAAGAGAAGAACATTGCTGGAGGAGTGTCCTCCAGTAGGCCAGAGGGGTAGTACACAAGCGGAGACTTGGCCTCAGGATAATGGTTGTTCATCCACAGTAGTAGAAGAGAAGATCAAATATGCAGGTACAACGTCAATGCATCAGTAGATAAGGGAGGTTGTAGTATTTCTTACTGCTCCTGTTTTCTTAAATAAATAGGAAGTAGATTACCAGTAGAGAATGAAAGATGCTGGAGGCCAGAGATGAGAGAAAACATGATGAAATAATTATTTGTGTTAGTGAGGAAGTGACCTGGCCAGTGAAATGTAGTGGGGTTACTGGGTTGCTCTCTGGGCCCAGTTGAGGTTAGTGGTCATGAATAGAAAGTAGTATCAGTAAGTTTGTTTGTCTCCAGCCACAATTAACTTTCTGAGTACAGGCACAGAATCAGTGAGGAAAAGGATTTTAAAATGTGAACAGTTTATTGAGTCCTAGAAGAATCACTGAAACATAATATCAGAGCCTTAAAAATATTTGAAATCATATGGCCCTGACTGGTTTTGCTCAGTGGTTAGAGCGTCGGCCTGCGGTCCAGAGAGACCCAGGTTCGATTCCCGCTAAGGGCATGTACCTCGGTTGCAGTTTGTCCCTGGCCCCAGTAGGGGTTGTGTGGGTGGCGACCAGTCGATGTGTCTCTCTCACATCGATATTTCTCTCTCTCCCTCCCTCTCTTCCTCCTGCTCTATCTAAAATGAAAAAATGTCTTCAGGTGAGGATAAAAAATATATATATTTGGAATCATATCTAAGAACTCTTTCTGGTTGTTAGGTATATGTACATAAAAAGGACGTGGTAGCCCAGTCAGTGTGGCTGCTCAGTGGATTGAGCATCATCCTATGGACTAAGAAGTCCTGGTTCGATTCCTGGTCAGGGCACATGCCCGGGTTGTGGGCTTCATGCCCAGTGAGAGTTGTGCAGGAGGCAGCCGATGGATGTTTCTCTCTCATGTTGATGTTTCTATCTCTCTCCCCCTTCCTCTCTCTCTAAAAAATCAATAAAAACTTTTTTTTTTTAAAGAAAAAGATGTGGCAAAAACAAGCAGGTCTTATGAATCAGTAGAATAAACAATTGATTTTATGGGGTCTGAAATTATATATCATCTAAAAATAATTGCCCTATTGGTCTTTCATGGCACAGAAAATTCCACCATTCACGTTATTCTTAAAAATATATGAACTTCCTCTGGCCAGTTTTGCTCAGCGGTTAGAGCATCGGCCTGCAGTCCAGAGAGACCCGGGTTCGGTTACCGCTAAGGGCACGTATCTTGGTTGCAGTTTGTCCCCC